AGATAGATAGATAGATAGATAGATAGATAGATAGATAGATAGATAGAACCTTATCTAATTTTCACTTTGGGGACTAATGGGCTAATAAATCCTATTTGAATCTCTGAAAGTTTTAATAACAACCAGAGGATAAATTATTGGCCATTTTGTTGTCTGTCCAACCCTTCCCTCTGTGTTGATGTATCTTTCAGAAGCCCTCTTCTTTCTGGGTTTACAGATGCTCCAGTGAGATTAATGCCGTGTCTGTGATGTGGATCTCATCAGTGATCAGTCCTTCCTCCATCACAGAACCGCTAATGCCTCTGCATTGCTTGACTTACCACTTTTAATCTATTATCCATCTTGCTTATATCCTCTCTCTCCACCCTATTCTGTTGTGTCTCACACTTTGTTTTTCCATTCCTGTCACCCTGACTGTCGACTGACAATGCTCAATATTAGTGATTTTTTTGGTATGCATGTTCTCTGCTTGTTTTTAATTCAAGGGCTTCTTTCATTGAAACGATTTGAGTTGTTAACTCAGTGGGGTTTTATCTCTTTGCACACATTGTACAATCCTTGTCATGTTTGGGAGTTGAGAAACTGCTATTCCATAGACACTGTCTATTTCTTGTTGTGCCTCTTTTATTAGCCAGCCAGAAGGGGTAATTAATACATTGGTTGGAACTGTAGTAACATGCTAACACTGAGATTAAGATTAGTAGGTAATTAGTATGGATCAGTACAGCCACAGGAAAATACGAAAGCTGGAAAATACAGTAAATGGCAAACATTCCAGTAAGAAATGTTTGTAAAGTGAACGTTGTTACAGGTGATTTTTAGAAGCATTTTCTAATCTTATTAACTGACTTTGGAATACAGACATTCACTAATCAATGTGTGTATATATATATATATATATATATATATATATATATATACATAGCAGAGTTGCAGAAGTTGTCCAAAGTCTAGCTACATTTCACAAAAAGAGATGTGGCAGCTCTAACTTTTGCCATAGGTCTGCCAGAGGTTTCTGCCTGTCTTTTTCTTTTCATTTATAATGTTTCCTACACTCAGGATGTGGGATTGGATCAAAGTGCTTTGGAGCCAGTTGGTGTCAGTAGCTAGGCATGATTTTTTAAGTTGGTTCTTCATATACTGGACCAATTTGAAAATTATTGTGACTTGATCATGGTTGCTTTAGAATTCATTTTAATCTTATCCACCTCAATTGGTATCTTTGAAGTATCTTTGAAGTTCCTTAAGAATACATAAAACTATAAATGAAATTGAACTGAATACAGAATGATTCTGTTCTTTTATGATTCTTATTCTGTCAGGGTGGGAAAATCAGATAGTTCAGATCTAAAAACTCAGGAACATAACAAAGAGCATTAGATTTGGGGGAAAGCCAAGTTTGCAAGCAAGGAGGTGTCCTATTTCTAACTAAAGATCACCAGAAGTTAGAAGTTAGACTATGTGGTGGGGGTACAAGTTTAAGTTTGAACTCAAGTTAAAAAGGGCACTTAGTTAGAAAGGCAACCTACATGGTTGCTAATGAGAATGTGGTGGTAACCTAGCTAAATAACAATTCTTAGGTACAGAATGTTTGCGATTTGAGATTGAAGTTTGATGGAAATAAAGATGATGAGGATGGACAACTAACCTTTGACCAAGGAACTTCATATAACAATAACCTCCAGATGTACATTATATTTGTTGATTTTTCAGTTTATTTATTAGTCAGTTCAGGCACCAGATTATATGCTTTAAAGCACAAAATAATACTTCTTAAGTTGAGATTGATTTAATTTTCTGTTTTTATTATGATAGACATTTTTATCTGTTTTAATCCATTTAAATAAATGATAATAATAAAACGCATGTTTAATGAAATTGCTCAGTGCTCATTCATGCTTGATGATTTCCAGCAGGGGAATAATAAAAAACTATAACCTGCTGTATTTAGTTTTCCTCCCAATCATTTGACAGAAATCTGAGGTCTGTCTCTATAATTATTTGCCACCCTTCTTTGTGTCTGGAAAACTGTTGGTGCATTGCTCCCCTCCCTCTGTGCATTCTAGTCCACATAATAGTTTTTTAAAGGCATTCATAATTGCACATAACACTGATACGTGCGTGCGTGTGTGTGTTGGGGTTGGGGGGGCGGTCAATCATGGATGCTGGTTATTCTGAATAACCTAAAAGGTTTTTATCGATATCTTTCCACAAAAAACACCAACTGTCTCTCATTGAGCTAATAATTGTTCAGGAATACATTATTTTCAAGAGCAACAAATTGTTATATTGTTTTGCACTGAAAGTAAGAATATAAATAAAGCTTCTTTAAGTACATTTATTTCCTTACATTGTCAACTGCACCAAAATGGAGTGCGAGTGGAATCATTTCACAGTAAATTTGACAGTATTTTATAGAATCACTTAATATGTTGCGTATATTTGTATGGAAATCGACACAGAATGAGCGAAGTTTACCTCACAACCCCGTACATTACGAGGACGTTGCCCAGAAGTCCCACCACGCAGATGACGGAGTAGAGCGCGGTGATGGACACGGCGATGACCATTCCCTGGGTACTCCTCACCGGACTTTCCTGCTTGGTGCAATTCTGAAGTCTGTCCACCACCAGGTCGCCATCCTGGTCGGGTAGGGTCACGTTAAAGGGGATAACCGAGTAAAGATCGGACAGGGATATCTGAGATCCGGGGACCGTGAAGGGCTCCATGCCGCTGTCCACCGCGCGTGGTGCTGAAAAACTTGTATGTACGGTCAAACGAGGGGACCCTTCTGTTCGGTTGGGAGAAAAAAGAAAAAAAACTGAAGCCAAAAAGACGAAATGTATTTCTTCCTGATTCAGAAAGTGTTCGATAAAAAGAGTTTGTTCTATAATCCATTCATTGGAGGCAGCGGTCAGCACCGGGTGCGCGTGTGCGCCTTCTCGAGCAGTGAGCGCCTCTTATACTCTCCTCTTTCTCCTCTTTCTCCTCTTTCTCCTCTTTCTCCTCCTCACTTTCCCTGCTTTTGCAGCCGGGCGTGACGTCACAACTGCGCATCCATACGATCATGGGAGTCCATGGAATGCTGAGGCGATTAGTGAACTTAAGAAAGAAGCAAACAAAGAAATAGAGATAGATCGCGCAGATGTCTCACCTAATAAAGAGCAAGCCATGACAATTTAACATTGTTAGAACACCATACTGTGAGCATTTTAATGAAGATGCACTATGCATCTTAAAATGAATGATGATTATTAAAAAAAACACAACAACTGAATAAACTACCAGTGGATAAATTTATGCTTAGCCATGTACAAAAGCTTCTTTTTGTCACCACTAAAAGAAATAAATAGGTAAAGTGACTTACTAAAACATCCCAAAACACCTGGAAATTGGAGGAAAAAATACTTTTTGCATTTCTAAATAGCTCAAGTGAATTTAATGGCAACTCTTTTTCACATAACAGCCTTTTAACAAAACCCCTTCAGCCAAAACTTCCTTGTCATTTCTGCAGTCTTCTATGTACTTTATCTTGGGACTTCTGGGTTTAGCATTGTTCTTTGTCAATATCTTCATTCTACCTCAGCATTAGCAGGGCCAGACTTTGGTGACAAGGACAAATGTGTTACAAAAATGAGAAAAAAATAAATTTAATAATATCAAAAAATGATAACAAAAGGTCATACTTCCATACAATACAACTAAAATCATAAATAACCCAGCTGAGGTCAACTGAACAGCAACCAATCACAAACCAAACTGACCTCCAGACACAGAACCAAGGCTGCTTAAATAGGGGTGGACTGCCCTGAACTTCCCACATGAGGGAGGAACATAATAGAAGTAAAATAAACACAGAAAATAACAAAATAGAAGCAAAATCATATTTAATTTAATACAAATGATATATTAAAATGACAAAATAAATTAGAGCTCAACTGAATTTAGCTTCAAAATTAACATTCCCCCTCCCACAGTCTTTGGAAAAATGGTGGCTTCCAAGGCTTCCACCTCCAGCTGGATTATAATTAGGGCCCTTAATTGTGGTGGTTGTAGGGGCATCCACCACAGTCAACTTGATGAGGGTGAACATGCTGATGAAATCCATCAGGTAAGTGTCAAATAGCTGGCCGGCTGCAAATATTTTCAATTCAATTCAATTTCAATTTTATTTATATAGCGCCACATCACAACAACAGTTGTCTCACAGCGCTTTCCAAACAGAGCAGGTCAGACCCTACTCTGAAGTTAATTACAGAAACCCAACAATTCCCACCATGAGCAAGCACTAGGCGACACAGGCAAGGAAAAACTTCCTTTTAACAGGCAGAAACCTCGAGCAGAACCATGGCTCAGGGTGGGCAGCCACCAAATATTTGAGTTCAGAGAAAGGAGTTGATCAGACAGATCATGCTTTTCCACATGGGACTTAAAGTATGGGGAAAGCAAAAGGACTAATGTCTCAAAACAACTCTATAGTGTTGCCCATAAGGTATCAACCTACAGACAGCAACCCCAGAGGCCCACCCAGCTAAAACCTATGACAGACAACAGTCAGTCAAGATCATGACAAATTTTAAGACTAAGATCATTTTTAAATCTGAGAACTTAGAAGGGAGATTCATTGCTAACTCACAGGCACACATTAACGGGTAAAGGGTATTTCTGAGCAGTTGTTATCTGGTTTCAAGTTATTCATTCCATTGTGAATAAAAGTACAAAAACAAACACTTGATAGAGTTTTATACATATTGCTTGTAACAGATTATTTTGGTTACTTGCTTGGTTCCTACTGCCTGGTTAGATCACCATATTATTTTTATCATGCATTGTAGTGTGGATGAGTATCAAACGAACATCCCTGAAATGGCCCTGGTCAGATCTCCCAGATAAGACTTTCACATCAGTCCAATCAGTTCAGTGGCACCTCAAGGCCCTATTTTTGTCCCTCTTCTCAGTGTACAAAGATCCTTGTCATCATTGTGCAGGTTCCTAAAGAAGGCTCTACAAAATTGTCTTTGAGATGTTAAAAGATTTTTTTTGTTGTTGAACAAACATGAAATGGAAAAAGAAAGCACTTTGCAAGTCTTTTAGATTTTCAATGGCATTTGCCCAATAAGGTGTCCATGTCATGGGTTGTGCTGGACCTTTGCATGACCCCATTACGTTTTGTTTTTTTTCTCTTTAGTTCCTGTCTTTTGAGTTCTTTTAGTACTGCTGTGGTTTTATGTCCACAGCAATTCCATCTTCTCTTTTTGAATTTGTTTTTCATACTGACTTTATCTTGTCATTTGTAATTTTTAAAGTGTCTTCTGCTCCCTCCTGTCTAGTTGTCAACTATATGTACACAACTTTGGTCACTTTAAAACTTCCCCCCCAATTTTTTTTTTCTTTGGACCTGGTTCGAATGACATATGCTGGCTTTTGTCATACAAGCACATCAAATTTCCTAATTGGTTTTAATTATTTGTTTGATACTTTAAATCTTTTAAAAACACATTTAGGACTTTTTTAAGACTATTAATTATATGAATTGGTTTACCAGACATATGAAAAACATGTGAAAAAAAGACAATGTTATAACATTTATAAAATCATGTAATAGTGGTATAAATTGAACATTTCCGTACACATAGTAAATGTGCCAATTTTTCTTCTATTCTGTCATCTAGCCATTATAAAAGCCTTGGCTTGTAACTGGATTTTGTTTTGTAATTGCGGAAATGCAGCATGTGTTGCCACAGGCTGCTAGTAACAAAGTACTCAAAAGAATCATTCATCCTTTGCCAAGTGATCCATTATGTATAGTCACAATAATTGGCTTATCCTATTAGTTAGATGCCTTTTTAATGCTTGGATGAGTCATAGATCAGTTATAAGCCAGCTATTGTATGAGACACTGGAGGTACACAGCAAAAAAGAAATGTTCAGGGCTTCAGAAAACCTTCACGGAACCTTGAAAATCCCTCAGACATTACAAAAGAAAGAAGGATTTTATTTTTAAAAATACTGTGTGCCCATATGGCTGCTTGATTGAATTTTGCTTTCCAAAAAAAATTTCCAACACTCTGTTTTAAAAAAAAAACGTGAATTTTTTGTATTTCAAAAGAAATCAGGACCAAATACAATAGTGTTAGTGTCTAGGAGAATCTTACAAAGGTTCTTACATATGTTTATGCCGAAATAGAGTTCATCAGCTGTAATCTTATATATTTTCAAGCAAATGCTCCATTACATGGCTCATGATATGCTTCTCTGCCCACTTCAAGACAACTTCAAACATTATCACATGACATTTCTGTTGGATGTATGAAAATGATTCAGAAGTTCAGCCTAACAGCAGTCACAGTGGTTAATCGAAGAGGACAAAGACTAATTGATAGGATGTTTAATCCATTTCCTCATCAACACTTATCTGATGGCCCAGAAGCCCTGTGAGGGAAATAAGATGTTTATCTCTTACATCGCTTGGGCTGAAAAACAGATGGGAACGTAGAAGCCTGGGACACACTGAAGTATCTTGTGGTTGCCAATATCCTTTTATCATCGTACTATTCAGATATCCCCTGGCCAGAGCAATCATATCCAATTGTCTTCCTACATGTTTGAGATATGCATGACTCTGTGTGGGGTACATCATCTCCCACTCCAGGACTCAATTCAGCCAATACAGTGCAATTGAAGTAGCTGTCAGTTTGGTTAATTTGCTACAGCTAAAATAGTTCTGAATTTACACCTTTGCACCTTTACACTTTCCATGTGTGACTTTCCGAGAGTGCACCTCAGCTCTTAATTATACTGGATAAAGTATATCACAAAAAACTGATTGAATGGTGTGCATTTCAGTTTTCAGTCTGAACCTCTGTCTCTCTCCTTTGAAAGAAAAGTGTTAAAAATCCTCATTGCTGTTTCTACTGGAAGAAGGTAAATTTAGCTGCTAATATATATCAATGGCAGCATGTTGTCACATCCCCCTTCTCTTTTGGTTCATAGTGGAACCAAATTTGATCTCATCCCTTGTCTGAAGCAACAATAAAACTAGCTCATTATCCATCTGTAATTATGTTTTTTTTTTTCTTAACCTTTTCCCTTCTAAAATACTGTCTGAATATATATTGGGTCGCATAGTCTTGGGTCATTTAGCAAGTTTTGGAAAAGCAACAGTGTCTTCTTTACTTTTTATTTTTCTATAACCTATTCTAAAATGTGTTTCCTTGTTGTTCATGTGTTATTGTCCATAAAGCGCATGTTGCATGTAGCAAAACTGTGTGGTCCTAAGGTGGGAACCACTTTGAAGACTGGAAGTAGGCACAAAATGTAGTTCAAAGCCCACAGTTTTAAGGTTCACACAGTTATTTGATGTTGCTTTATTACGACCACACTCCAAATAAAGTGCTTCTCATTTTTTATTCTACATCAAGATTGAATTTGAGACCCATCTAATTCTGTGAGTGCCCCATAAGACTGTTCAAGTTCTGAAGGTTCTAATCAGATACTTTAATCAGGGCAAACATCATCAGGATGAGTAGTTTTTTTCTAGTTTGTCAGCTCTAGATTGTCATTACGTCTTAGTTTGCCTACAACAACAACAATTTGTTGGTTTCACATCAAAGATCCCTTGAACATGTAGCTACATAGGAGCAACATGTGGCTCAAGGCTTTCTCTTTTACCAGAGTTTGCATCATATTTGTTTGATTTCTGGAGGAAATAAATTAAGCTTTTGTGTTTATGGAGTGAAAATACAGTGAATAGTAAATGACGCATGTTGCACATAAA